TACAACATTTTTGCATATTCTCGCGGAAAGTCCGCGGGAATATGCGCTTGCCTATAAATTGTATGGCCGCCTAACCTCTGCAGTTCTCTGAGTGGGAGGAAGACTACTCTGACTACTCCGGTTTGAAGGAGTTCTTTTCTGCGTAATTCAAATGTATTAAAATCGATCAAATTTGAAGCTTGTCGGCCAGTACCCCAACATGCGACTTCGACATTGTGAATTCTGTCGAGTATACATTACCTTCGAGTATAGATTACCTTTATTTAGATTGTTCTGCTTGTGTATGTGGTTCTACGTCGGCCGAATATTCCTCAATTACTATTACATAAGCTGCAAGTTTCCAAATGATAGATAGCCCTCTCATTTCACAAATTTGCAGTTGTCTAGGAAAATCTCATTTGTCGCAATTTTCTAGAGAGTGATGAAGCGCTCCGCGTCCGATTTGCACGTATTCCACCAAATTCTAAGCACTACATTGTCACGACTAGGCGGTTTTCTTTCTCACGCGGGTCAGTCACTTGCCAAGGCTTTTTCTGCGTTTTTGCGCGAGTCAACCGACGCACAGCTGATCGACGATTGGCTTCCCGACGGAAGAAGCTCGTCGCCTGCCTGCTGCCAACTGCTCACAATAGCTATGTCAGAGGCACATTGAATTAGATTTGAGGCTGCGCACTCGTCTTCCACATCTCTCAGCTGCTCGTCCACTCCACAAGTGGCTGCGAGAATCGCCGAGAAAGCGTGAGTGTTGGGATTTGACAAAGTGATGGCTGGGAGATGATACCGTTTCTCCATGCGGTAAGTTATCATTTCATCCAGCTTTGGTCTCACATCTACGTCGCTAATTTCCGTTTCCATTGTTAGGGATCTTGGTCATGTTGCTTGATAGTGTTGCTTACTCGCGATAGCATTTCGCCTGCTCTATACTCAAATGATGAGAAATCTTGCGACTTGTCCGCACAAACACCTCACCAGAGGCAGCAATGCGCTGACACCACACCGATGCTAACCTAGCTTTTAGAGTAATGGTGGTATAGTGGAAGTGAAAAAGTGTT